TTTGATTTCTGCTGTTGATGAGTTGGGGGATGGGGTGAAAAGAAAATGCCAACATTGAAATTTTTCCAAAGAATTAATGAGTTATTTTCATTTTGCCGCCCAACTTTTTTCTTTTTTTTTTTTTTTTTTTTTTTTTTTACTTACATCAAGTGGAAAATGTTTTTGCAGACTCTGTTTTTTGTACAGACCAAAATATCAGTTCCACCCAAAAATTCCCTATGTTCACTTAGAATTGGTAACATCCTGTCTCATGTCTTCAGATGAAAGAAAAATTAAATAAGAAGACCCTTATTTCAAGAATGATGTTTGTTTTCTATCTTTCTTATCAAAATCTTTAATTTTGCAAGAAAGATTTTAAAAAATTCAAGCAATGACAGATTTGAGCCAAACTTTGACTGCAGAAAGAAAAAAAGAAAATTTAAAAAGCTTCATTTTTTTTCTATAACAGAATTGGGATTTTACAGTATTGATTGAATATCATAGCTTTTCTGGTTCTCTTATACCTATATGGTATTTCTGAATTCAGACACATTATTGACCATCTTAGCTATCTACCTACCATGTTTAGTTTGTACAAATAATATCTATGAAACGAGTGTAACATATCCTGTAAGTAATTCTTTCATTAATGCCTGACCACTGACAATCCCAATCAAGTGGTTTATATAAACAGTTTGTCAATAAATAATTTTGGTATATTGACTAATGCATCTGTAACTGTTTTAGACTACAATTCCCAGTATTCCAAAAGTATGTCGGACAATTGAACTCATTGTCCGAGTTACTTTTGCTGTTACTGCATCATTTCAGTTTATGCAGTCTACAGCCTTCTTCAGGTGAACAATCTGCAAGGAGGAAAAAAGTTACATGTTCCAGAAAATGGTGGTGAATAAAAAAGAAATAAAGCAAATATACCAACTGACTCAACCGATTCCCAGCAACATGAGTCACTTAAATGATCCAATTCTCAGAAATCTATGAAACATAACTTTGCATTTACATTACAGGAATACTTTTTTTCTCTCCCCCCACTGGCCTAACTCAACATTTGTTTGTTAAAATAATATCTGCTGCTTCTCAATTTACTCACTCTCCAGTTTTCTATTTAGATCTCATCTCAGACAGAGTTTAATGAAGTCTTCTCTTTCCAAATATGGTCTGTCATATAATTGAAACATTTGTTGAAAGAATAATGACTTTTCTCAATAGAAAAAGAAAAGAAAAGATGATTTTCATTAAAATACATTTGCTGTAGTTTAGTCTCTAAAACAGAACTAATAGCTCTACTAGTAGAAATAAAAATAAAATAAAATTTTAGATCATTCCCATCTTCCTTTTAGTTCTTTGTGTCTATTTAAAATATAATTTCAACTTCAGAAATGTTTGATTTCCTCAGAGACAAGAATGCAATGTTTTTTAACTTCTTTCTTCTCAATTAATATCTTCTTTTTTTCATTTCCTCTCTTTGATATTAAAATATATAAAAGCCAAGAAATTCATTCTATTTGTTTAAAGATATGATTTGAAATTGTCTAAATTTCATTGGCAATTCAATAATCAATTTTGTCCTTGTTTCTCTGATGAATAAATTGTTGGACTTTATGAAGACTCTGTGGAAATTTTGGTTAGAGTTTCTAAATCCTTTTCATTTTTTCTTTTTTTCAGTCTTTCCAAAATACGATGAAAAATTCTATAAATAAAAAACACCACCAAACACAGAGGCAAGCTGATGCTCCTTCTCAACAGAATCTGACCAGTCCATTGCCATCTCGGCCACAGAGCCCACTCCAGACATCTCAGGGCCTACCAAATGATGCATCGGCGGACAGCGATAGCCGTCCAAACTCTCCTGTGCCCTACAGAGAAAGACACATGTCAAAACCACACCAAACCAAGAAAAAACCTAAAAAGGTTGGGGATGTACATATACATGATAATATTAATAATAGTAAGGTAAGTTTAACTCACTTTCTGTTTTCTTTCTTTTCTTTTGTTTTTTCAGTGAGTAAAATATATGTAAAATACAACTCGTTCAAAACATGAGGAAAAACTAACAACACCAAAAGCAAAACCCCTTGAAAATGGCTAAATAAGTGTCCGAAAGTGCTTGGGAGAATGAAAATTATGGAAAGTTTTTGTACCATCTTACTCCTACAAAACAGAAAAAAAAAGATAAGGATGCTAGAAAAACTAAATAAAAAAATTAAAATCTTACTTGTCTACCATATTTAATGAAAGTTGTTTAAAAGAAAGCTTGCTGCCCAAATATATATAGTTGTCCACAGACAGTTTCGCTGTATCACAGCTCATCAGTGTGGTTATATAGAGATATATATATATATATATATATAAAGTTGAGCTCTCTGGGGAAGAGGTGTGGGTTTATGAAACAGTAACTATTATAGCTAATATAGCGAGACTCTTCGCAAAAAAAGCGAATTGAGTCACTGTCAGTCACTGTGTGTGTTTCTAAAAATAAATATGCTAAAATTCACCTTCATCCCTGCCGTGCGCCGACAGCTTAGTGGTAGAATCTCTGACTGACACCAATTCAGTCGGGTTTCGATCCTAGCTAAAGGCAACCGGATGTCTAGTGAAACAGCAAAACAGTCTGTCTGTGGATGAGATATATATATATATGGGCAGCATATTTTCATTCAAGTAGGTTTTTGGTTAAATAATTTAGACGTATTATGTCTATTTATTTTATTTTTATTCCTTTCAAGTCCATGACTTATTGTACAACACAAATAAGAAGATATATATATATATATATATATATATATATATATATAGTTAGAGCATTAATGAAATGCCAAGACTAGGAAAGCTTTATTGTGGAGAGCCATAACAGTGAAGCTTGTTAGATATTGAAAATACAGATTTGAAGATGTCAAAACAAGAAGTTTTTTAAGATCAGCTTTCAACTTTTTGTGACATCTTAAAACAAAGGAATTTTTTTCTTTTTGCAAAAACAGTTTGTGTTATACGATGGGGTATTAATGATTTTAAATCAGGGTATGATTTACATTTGTCAAAGACCTCTGTTTAAACTACCGACCTCACTGACTTTAGATTAATAATCCTCATCTTTAATCCTTATGAAAGTCTAATTCTTTACATCAGAGTGAATCTTCTCGTTTGCTTGCAGTTAAAAGGTGAGTAAAGTGCAATTCTGTTCATTCATTTATTTTATCTTGTTATTTATGCTAATATTATGTAATCTGCTCAACCTATGCTGATAATCCCTGTACCCAAAAGGCCAGGTTGCAAGGCACATTTCTCTCCCTTTGTTAGTCTTTCTGCAAGGGTATGACATTGCCCTCATATGGAGTGTTGCTTTCAGCTGACAAATATGATATTTGATTCTACCTCTTTTAATTCTTTACTGTTTCCAGTGTAATGAATGTATCGTCTCCCTGGCAAAGTGATTAAGTCTCTTTTTATCGGCAATGGAAGTCGTCTCGGTGCTTGATGCTAATAGATAACACAGAGAAATTGAATCAGTGCCCTATGTCCTGCCCTCCTGTGTCTGTGGATCGTATAATAACTTTGGCCAAGTCAGGCTATTGTTCCCTGTGATGCAACAACTGATTTTACAGCTTCATTAATAATTGAATGGACTCTCTCTCTCTCCCCTCTCTCCCTCCCTCCCATTCCCCCTTTTTGTGCTTCTATGGTTACTGGGTGAAATGAGTTGTTTGAAAGCTGAAGATATTTGTGTCGGTTCTAGATTGTCAAATGCGCATCTATTTCTGTGAGCAAGCAAGCAAAAAGCATGCCATTTTACTTTTTGCTTCCATTGAGGAGAAATGGTAAGAACATTGAGCATCAATCAAAATGGTCCTTACTTGGAGGGGAGGGGGGGGTGAAAAAAGAAAAGAAAAAAAACACAAAACTAAAAAAGTCATCCTTAGTTGGCATAATAAGTGCAAATGTAAATGTTTTCACCTAGTCTAATCTTTTGCTTGACACTGTCTTCTCTTAGCATTTTTTTTTTCTTGATAAAAAAAAATGAAAAATTTTCTCCAATCAAATTTTATTTAACTCCTGATTCATCAAGCATTAGATTGATTGATAATTTAAAAGAAATAGCTTCAGAAACATTTTTCCTACCAATAAAATTATTACTCTTTACTAAATTTAATCCTACTCAAGACCAAAAATGTAAAAATATAAGGCACCATATATATATATATATATATATATATATATATATATATATATAGATAATGTTAGTGGTAAATATACACATACATATGCAATCATATATCTAATATATATATATATATATATATAAATCAAGAGGATAGAATTCAGGTAGAACTCACTGTCGGGACAGAGTAAGGATATAATAAAAAGGCTTAAACACTAATATTCCATGGTCATAATTTATTCCATTGGAATCATAAATACGATATCGATTATATATATATATATATATATATATATATATATATATATATATATATATATATATATAAAAAGTGGACATTGATGTCAAAATCCAGCAGCAACAGTCTGTTTCATACTGGATGTTGCCCTCAATGTCCACTTTTATATTTACATACGTCTGATATCATGCACTTTAACTCATAAATATACCATACTTTTAAACTATATTTTTATCATATATATATATATATGCACACATACATACATACACACACACGTGTGTGTGTGTATATATATATATATATATATATATCACAGCTGTTTGAGGTTTCCTATAGCCTTACTGAACTTAAATAAAGTCAATTCAGGTTTCCTATGGTAAAAATTTTCTTTCCCAAGTGAAAATCATCACAAAAATGGCAAGTCATTTTGTCACAGCTTATTTTCTCTCAAAAAATGGATTTTCATACTTTTATAGGGGTAAAATATTGTAAAATGACTGTTTTATCATCATCTGAACAAAGATCAAGGAAACTTTTGATCTGAACTGCATGAAACTAGGTATTTTCTGAAAGCAAAGGATATATTCTTTCATTTAAAAATAAAATTGGCTGGTGTAAATGACTCAAAATTTTTTTCAGTGGGTAAAATGTGAAAAAATAGTGAAAATCTTGCATTTTTTTCTTTTTTTTTTTCTTTTTTTTTTTTTTTTTAAATCAGAAAGCCTAAATCATAATCAAACTATTTCAGGCATAAAATTGAGAGTTTTGAAGGAAATCAACATTTTTAGGTGTTCAAAATGTGACAAAATCCATTGTTAATTTTCAATTATATGACTGCCAAGGGTTAAAAAAAAAAATTGACACCCCGCCACCCACGGAAATCTTTAGTAGAAGGCAAGAGATTTATCTGCAATTCCTAACCACCAGAAACCAAAAGTTTTTTTTTCCAAAAATAGTGATAAGGAAAATTAAACCTAATTGACTTTGAAGTCTAGGTCAAAGGTCAGCTAGCCAGCCAGCAATAAATGGCAAACCTTAGAACAAGTTGTAATAAAACCCACCACTCCCAGATAAAAGCAAAGAGTGAAAAAAAAAAAAGGGTTCACCATTACTAGGGCTTGATATAACCTATGTTTGAACAATGACTTGATGAGTTTTGTTTTGTTTTTAACACTTAGCAGACAACGTTTTTTTCGCTGCATATCTTTCGTATTTCCCATTGCCGGTCCATTTAGCCGTTCTTTTTATTCAATGATGTTCATGCCAAATGAAAGAGAAAGGAATGAATTTTGAATGATGTTAGTTTGAAGCGAAAATAAATATTTTTTCATTAAAAAAGGGGATTTTTCTCAGAAAATTGAGCATAATTTCTTAATGCTAACCGCCGAGTGACATTTTCCACAGCCAAATCGAAGATTAATTACCAGTGACTAATTCCATGTGCAAACAATAGCCGTCTGGATCCTATAAAGTCGCCCTAAAAGGTCCAGAAGTTTACTAATTGATCGAAAACCTGTTGTGCATAATTGTATTTTTCACAGTCAGTTTCCATCATTTCATCTTGATATTATCATTTTCGGACAGCCAAATCATCAAGGATTCAGAAAAACACTTTGGCATAGGTTTTCTTTGAGAACTTGACATTCTATGAGGTGTTTAAAATGTTACTGACGAATGAGATTTTTTTGCCGAATATTTTGTTTACACGCCATGTTGGATTTTCCTATATGACAAAAACAAGGGTTTTAAACAGCTGTGATATATATATATATATATATATATATATAATATTTCTTATAATTTTTACATACAGACAAAAAAACTTACTCACTACAAAGATACATTCTTGTTTCGATGTGCATGCATCTCGACTGGTGAGAACCAAAAATAAGTTGTTTATATATGTAAAAATTATAATAGATAATTATTGCTCTACTCTTGGTATTGAGCCCTTTTTTGATAGATATATATATATATATATATATATGTATGTGTGTGAACATTGAAGTCAACACTCAGAGGTGACAGGCTGTTTCATGCTGAACGCAATCATCAGGCCGCGAATGTTGGATATTTCCTTGACTTTTTATATATATGGGTCTGTGGTGCATTGTGGGTAATCTATTCTGGCAGTTATTTGCGAGAGTGGCTTATTATGTTACTTAAAAATTGAAAACTGAAATGAATAAATACAAATAAATAAAATAATATAAAAAATAAGTAAAATAAATTAACCAAAATTAACAAACCACATCTGTTAGAATAGACGAAATAGAATGAATAAAAATAAAATACATAAAAAAACAAGTAAAAACAATCAGCCCAAATAAGTAAATAGTATTAAACAAATTAACAAACCAATCCCAACAAAATAACCGTCAGAATAGACAACAACCAATCCAAAAATTGGACGAAGAAATATTGATAAAAAACATCACTGTCACTCAAAAATCAAAAACCAAATAGAATAAATAAAAATATACAAAATAAAAAATAAGTAAATAAATAAAAAAAAACTAATAAGAAAAATCAATCCAAATAAATAAATGAACAAATTAACAAATCGTCCCTGCTAAAATAACTGTTAGAACTAATAAAAATAAGCATAAATAAGCAAAAACAAGTAAAAAAATAATCAATCCAAATAAATTAAAAACTGTTCACCCACCAAAATAACAGAATAGACTCCAGCAATCAATCTAAACATTGGAAGAATAAATAGCTTTTAATTATCTTCCCAGACCAAAACAAACTATTAAATAAGCAACCTAAGTAAATCCCCACCACCACCAAAATGCTTGCTACATTAATAAAACATCAAAAAAGGAAAAGCATAAATAATACAAAATGAAAAACAAGTAGAATAAATTAACCCAAACAAATAAATAAATAAACAAACAAGCCACTCCTGCAAAATAGCTGCCAGAATAGATTACCCACAATGCACCACTGACCCATATATATATAAATAGCGGAGGAAATATCCAGCATTCGTAGCCTGACGATTGCGTCCAGCATGAAACAGCCTGTTGTCTCTGAGTGTTCACTTCAGTGTTCACTTTTATATTTATATTTACATACGCTCTATCTCTGATATTGAGCACTTTATCCCATAAATATAGCACACCTTAAAACTATATTTCTTTACATCAACTGTCTATATGTTCATTTCCATGCAACAAGAGAATTAGGAAAAGCAAGTGGGTGGAGAGGAAAGAAGTTGTGAAAGAGAAGGAATATAAAGAGGTAAGAAAGACAACTAAAGAAAATGAAAAGCAAAAGGAACAGTGACAAGAGAGATAGACTTGCTGTCTCCAATTTTTATAACTCCTTTACATCATTAATCTTTAAATATGGGTGAAGCTTTGGGTATAGAATGATAGGTTGATACAATGGTATTCATATATAGATAATGACCTTACTTGAAGTCTTCATTTCTACCCTACATTTTGGGGTAGGCCTGCCAGATTTCTTCCCATGGCTGTAATATTATCTAATTAACTTGGTTATTATCTCTTTCAGCTGTGCAACTCTTAGTCTATGAGCAATCTTATAAACCTTTTGAATCAGTCAGATTTAAAGTGGCTGTAAATTTTGATCAATTGTTTCCCAGTTAAATACTCAGAGATAAGCCATCTATTATTTTAATCTGATATATGTCATAATCTTAGAAATATTATCTCTCTTCCCCATACTTTTATTGATGCAAGATGAAAATTTCTCCTCAGATTAATTCTGACATGTGAGTTTCATCAATTTTGACATACATTGATTGGTTTCAAACGTTTTAGCTCTCACAAAACCAAAAATCCAAAATCTCTTTGATAGTTTGATTATTATTACACAGGCAGTTGTTGACAAGTTGTTTCTCATGGAAGTTTTTTTTTTTCTTTCTCAGTTTGTTTTTCTTTTTGCTCTTTTCTTTTTTCTTTTCTTTTTATTGAGAATACACAAGTTGATTTTATCCTATAATCTTTGTTGTATGCATAACCACATACACATGCAAAAATAAGTTACACAGTGTTCATTGGAATTCTTGTCATTTTTATCTCAGGTAATTATCACAAATCTCTATTTTCCTCCTGTGGAAATTCTTTGATAAAAGAAATCAATAAATTTCATGTAGCTTTTCCCAACTTTTTTAATTCCAACTGTTTCCTCCGTTTCCACCTCCTCCTTTTATTTTTTGTTTTTCAATAATGATTTTTTTTTTTTTTTTTTCCAATTTCTTCATTTTCAAATCTAGCTTCTAAGTGAATTCTCACCAAAACGTGCATGACCATTCTTGTGAATTTTTACTCCAAACCATAGCTTCAGGCTCTTTTTTCATTAAAGTTTCCATTTTTAAAATCCGCCTTCTTCTGATGAATCTATTTCCTTGTCTTTATTCCCTGACTTTTTTCCATGATTATCATTTTACAGATCTTCCATCTTCAGTGTTATTATCTCCCCTTTTGTTTGCGTTAATAATAAGGCTGGGTCTTTCATTGCAATCTTCATCTTTCTTGTTTCTTCTGATCAAGCAAAAACTGGTTGAGGTGCTGTGATCTTTCATCTTTCTCTCTTAATAGATTTTATTTAAAAATAACATTTATTTCTCTTACTACATTTGTCTTTCTCTTACATTTATGCTTCCACGTGCACTCTCTCCCTTCTGCTCCCCTCCCCAAGAGGCTTTGTTCTTTCATCACTTTCTCCCTTTTTTTGTATGTTGTCCCCACTTTTTACGCTGTTGATCTCTCACTTTTCATTTTCTGGTGCCTGCAGTGAAAACAACAGTTCTTGTTCAATCACTGAAGGTAAGTAATGTTGAGCCTGGTCAGTATTTAGATGGTAAAATGATTGGAAACACCAGGTAGTGTAAGCAGACCCCATACAATATGAAATACTTGGTTTTAAATAATCCACAAATGGTTGATAAGCTGTAAGAAAAAAAAACAACAAATCACTCAATCACTTTCTCTGTGCTGTGCCGTTTTTTCACTGTCTTGCTCTCGCTCTCTTTTCACTGTCTTGCTCTCGCTCTCTTTTCACTGTCTTGCTCTCTCTCTCTCTTTTCACTGTCTTGCTCTCTCTCTCTCTTTTCACTGTCTTGCTCTCTCTCTCTCTTTTCACTGTCTTGCTCTCTCTCTCTCTTTTCACTGTCTTGCTCTCTCTCTCTCTTTTCACTGTCTTGCTCTCTCTCTCTTTTTTTCACTGTCTTGCTCTCTCTCTCTTTTTCACTGTCTTGCTCTCTCGCTCTCTTTTCACTGTCTTGCTCTCTCTCTCTCTTTTCACTGTCTTGCTCTCTCTTGCTCTCTTTTTCACTGTCTTGCTCTCGCTCTCTTTTCACTGTCTTTCTCTCGCTCTCTTTTCACTGTCTTGCTCTCGCTCTCTTTTCACTGTCTTGCTCTCGCTCTCTTTTCACTGTCTTGCTCTCGCTCTCTTTTCACTGTCTTGCTCTCGCTCTCTTTTCACTGTCTTGCTCTCGCTCTCTTTTCACTGTCTTGCTCTCGCTCTTTTTCACTGTCTTGCTCTCGCTCTCTTTTCACTGTCTTGCTCTCGCTCTCTTTTCACTGTCTTGCTCTCGCTCTCTTTTCACTGCACTCTGATCTTTCTTCTTGGTTTGTATCTCCTTTCTGACTTAGTGTTGTTTAATAACAATTACTTTAAAAATGGATTTTATCTGCTTTGTAAAATTATAAGTTATCTGAAAATTTATTTTGGTATAAAAATTTGCATATTGATTCCCAGCCACTTACTTCTGTAATTTTGGCTTGCTTTCTGAAATTCCACCTTTTTATTTTTATTGGATATTCTTAACCCCCTTGGTCATTTTCCTATACAATAATTTCCCACCTTTTGATGAATTGAATAATTTAGGAAAGTGACACTTTAGCTGATAACATTGATTTTTGATCATTTTTATTCATAAACTTTAAAACCCAATCTTGAAATTAAAATATTAGTCACTTCCAGCAATTAATATTTTGGTGATGAATATTGATGCAAAGTTTTCAGCCATTTGTTCTCTTCTTTGTGCGTTCATGCGTCTGATGATATAATGATAAAAACAATTGATCCTTATGTTAATATTGTGTCAAAATGAATACGCATATGCTGCAAATCACTTGTCATATGACACTTCCTGAAAATTCAACTTTGAAAACTTTTCAAATTAAATAAAATAGTAAAAGCGGGATGTATCTCTTTATTCTTATTTGTTTTATATATTTTTTTTTAGATAAAAATAAGAATAAAAGTATCTTTGTTCTGGTTCACTTTTCCCATTTCAAAGATAAATTTGTGATTTCTTTCTTTTACAAGTATTTGGCGACAATCATTTGAACTTAATAGATTAATAGATAGAACTATTTTCATCTTCCGGGTAAAAAAATATAAAATCTGAATGATGACCTTTTTGTTTTTGTACAAGCAATATATTTAATGGCTTCCTGCTGAAGACTTAGAATATGAATTCTCTTCCTTTTTAACAGACAATCTTTTAATTGCCTCAAGAAGCAGTAAGTAAAATCATTCAGAGAATCACCGAGACATTTGGTAGTTTCGGTTTTTCTTATTGACATTCATCAACACAAGCTGAATGTTTACAGAGACTAAACACCAGCCTCTGCTTGGAGAATTTTTTTCTTTTTTTTAAGTTCAGCATGAATGTTCTTGTTTGTTACGGAGAAGGTGCATTGCTGACAGTGATGACTGATTTGGAATGATGGATGTATTTTAACTGAAATCCTACTATATCCAGTGGTGTTATTGTTGTGTACCCTGTATCAGTTATAGCTTCTCTGGGAATTGATATAAGGCATTATTACCAAGAATCCTATGTATCATGATCACAAGTCTTGTAACTTGTTTGAGTTGTAGGGACACCACATATGCTGAAACTGCAGTAGAAGTGGTGTGTCCTGGGCAAGATAGCCTGACAGAGCCCAACACTCTCCAAGCTGCTATGAATTCAGAGCTTTTCCTTCTCCTAAATCGGTTGCCATCCAAGGCTATAGAATCCAGTCTATCCTGCTATTTACCCATAACTGTGTAGGGGGAGATGGATTAATACCTTTTCTAAGGATATTAGCATGTAAGTGAATATAATGAATTTAACAGGAATGTGAACTTGGCTCTCTGTGTGTGTGTGTGTGTGTATGTATGTATATATATATATATATATATATATATACACATACACACACACTGCTACTAAGATTTTGTCGTAAGTTGCTGTTACTACCATAGTCAGTTTGATTCTCAAAGATGTCCTACACTTGTGGCTTTTGTAACAAATGATGCCCAGCTTAGTAAGTACCTAAAAATGTTTCCCTCCTTAAATTGTTTTCCACTTTGTCATAAGGTGTTGATAAATTGAAATCTGTAAATCACTGTCATCTCTATGTTAAGCAAATGTTTAATTTTTTCAACTTTTCTTTCTTTCTTTCTTTTTTTTTTTTTTTTCTTTCTTTCTAAACTTTCCTTGAATTAAAAACTGTCAGGATAATGTTTTTTGATATTTGTTTGGTCTTAAGATTCTTTGGAACTTGGCCATAACTCTTGCCATTCTTGACTGATGTAACTTCTTTTTCTCTATTGGTTTTGGATTGCCGCAGAAGGACAAGATCTCTTTGCAAGCCAAATTTCTCTGCAAATGCATATGGTTACTTTCAGCAATTCCCAGCCTGTCTAAAAAATGATTTATTGTTTTCTCTCTCTCTCTCCCCTCTTTCTGAATGGCGTTGCTGATAAATTCTTTAAAATTCTTGGTATTTATTTCCTTCGCTTTATCAGTTGTTAAATTCAACATAAATCATTTTAAATGTAATTATTCCGATCAGTTTTCATTTTGCTGCTTTTAATTAGAATTTTTTTTTTTTTTTTTTTTTTTTTTAGATGTGGAATTATGTATTTTTTCTTATCTTGGTTGCTATTGTTGCAATGTTTCAGTAATTGTATTCTCTGGCCTTCTTCAGGTAGTGATTGTTTATAGTTAACAATCTTTCATTAATTATTTCTTATTTCTCCTCCTTTTTGAAATCAGAATTATTGTTTACTTAACCAATACACTTTCTTTTTATCCTTTAAGCCATATATTTCAATATTTCATGGTACAATTTGGTGTTGAAAACTTGGAGCCTTAAACGTTGTTTCCCTGTTTCTTTAAATGACTATAGTATGACTTTTACAATACCTTCATGTCTATGTTAAAATTTTTATGTTTCTGTAATCATCTCTACTTCTTGGTACGTCTACCATGTGAATTTAAGCTTGTTGAAATTCCTAAATGTAACCATAAGTTCTATTCTAACAGTTTCATTTCTTACACTTCTCATCTGAGGAACCCTCTTCTCATTTCTTGCTTCCTTGCCAACCATAATCTTCAAAAATTTAAATGTTACATCAATTGCCTTCTGTCTTTATTTTCCTTTCTACTCACTAAAGTCTTATCCTTCTTTTCCATTCACAGTAATCCTTTGCGTCTTAGTGGCATTACCACCTTGCTTCAAGTGAAATGATTAAAATATATATATATATATAAGACATGTATATATGCATGCACATTAGAATAGCGATTGATTGATTTCTTATATTCTGCAAACACTTTAGAAACGTGAAAGGTAATTTGTCCATTCTATGCATCTATTGATTCTAATATGAGGATAAACACGGTGTTGGGAAAAGCAGGCAATTAGTGGTCGTCTCTCTTTTCATTGTAACCCTGGGGCCAAATCAAGTTGTAGATCATTGGACTGGCATTGTCTCCACCAATCGCCAATATCATTTCTTTTGCATACGATATTATTGCTTATCTTTGGTTTTTGTCAGCCCATAAATTAACATTGCTAATTTTGCTTCATTTTCATCTGACAAATGATGATTGTCGTTTTGTACTTGAATTTCAGTCACGTTTAGAGAATAAGGGTAATACCATGTGATGGTAGGGGAACGAGGGAGGTGATGATGTAAAAATGGATGCCGTTCTTTACGTTTGGTGTTTTCATAATTAGACTTTATTAACTCTGCAGGCAATCTTCTCATTGCATTTACGTTGTTAATTCAAATGTTACATTGTGTGAAAAATAATGAAATGTCAAACTATTACAGAAACAAAATACATTGTGATTTATCTTTTTAATTTTTAGCAGACATTGAATTGTGGGATTTTAATTTAAATCTTCTTGAGATCAATGGTTGTGTTTTTTTTTTTGTTTTTTCCTAAATAGAAAACAGTGATAGCTTATCTGAACTTTGACATCTGTGTGAAGTACAAACAATATGGAATCTTATGGGAAATAATACATTTCTATTTAACAACAAATATAACCCTCACATCAAGCATCTCAGTTTTTAGGAAGTGACAGCCCTACACCTGCACATGAGATTTGATTATAGTGGTGAAGGTTTTGTGCAGAACCATCCACAGTTTTTGGAGGGCCGAATACAAAGACATGGTACACTACATGCCACAAGGTCCCCAAATGACCCTCTGCAGCTTTTGAATCAAGAGTTGCCTTTCCTCTAGACCAATTGCCATCCAAGGCTATAGAACCCAGTTTGCCTCCTCACATATATATATATATATATTATTTATTCAATTTGTTTAAACATTATTTTTAATGGATACTCATATTTGAGTAGATGTGTTTTTTTTTCTTTTTTTTATCTTTTTCTTTTCTTTTTTTTTTGCTTATTATTAAACAATATATCTATTTAATTTCATCTACTGGTCTGAATATTTGAGAAATCTAGTTAGAAAAATATGAAAGATCTGTGTTCAAAAGCACTATTCAGTCCTTGTTTGATGAGGAGGTTCTTCAAGGCACATTAGATCTAATGATTGTTCCCCCTCAGGGCTGCAGATTCATGTCCTACCAGAGTATGCATATTTTCTTAACAGGTTTGCTCAAATATTCAATAGATGAAATTAAAAATGCTGTTTAATAAATATATAATAACAGTGCATCTACTCAAATGTGAGAATCCATTAAAAATAATGTTTAAACCAATAAAGTTAAAATATTGGATTAATAAATGAAAAATCCATTCCTATATACGTATATATATATGTGATAAAAATACAGTTTTAAGGTATGAAATATGTTAGAAGCAAAATTTTATTATTGCAATAAATCTCTCTGTACTTTCGCTTCTCTCTCTCTATCTGTCTATGTAGACATATTAAACAAACATTGATAAAAATATCATTGCAAATTGGTAATACCAAATTATTACAATTAAAAACGGCCAAACTGGTTTATCGGTTCATCAAAGCAAAAATCAAGGACTAAAAAATATGCAACCCCAGACTAATGTTATATACACACAAAAAATATAACATTAAAGGTTAATTACCTTTTAAGCTTACTAACTACTCCTTCTGTTTACAGAGAGATGGTTGGTAGGACTTAATATATATTGTTTACCAAGCTTTCAGTTGATAATCTGTATTAGCCTTACTCAGCACTGAGAACATGTCTAGGCTATAAGACTGAGTACCCTGCTGGTTTTTAATCAAATGTTCAGCTATCACTGAACTTGATACATTAACACACGTATGTAAATTGTCCACCTTTCCCTTGCGTATATTGAATATTTACAAATGTCAAGTTTGAAA